ATGTAGATCTCTACTCACCTCTTCGTAATAGGTTAGCAGGTTGGTCTGGCAAGAACGATCCTTCATAAATCCATGCTGGTTATCAGTTATTATGCCGTTATCCCGAACAAATTCCACTAAGTAGTCCTTAATAATTCCCTCTAACAGTTTACATACTATGCATGTTAGACTAACTGGTCTATAGTTCCCTGGTTGGCATTTTGACCCTTTTTTGAATATAGGTGCCACATTAGCCCTTCGCCAGTCGCTTGGCACTCTACCAGCCATTATGGATTCCTTAAAAATGAGGAACAATGGTCTCGTTATCTCCTTGTTGAGTTCCTTGAGTACCTTGGGATGTAGATTATCAGGCCCTAATGCTTTATTTGCATTTAGTAGTTTAAACCTATGTTGTATCCCAGTTTCAGTCAACCACTCAGGTGTATTTCTTATAAATTTTTGTGTTTTACCATGTACATTAAACCCGTATTTTTCCTCGGTGAATACCTATGAGAAAAAAGTATTTAGCGCCTCGGCCCTCTCCCTGTCATTTGTGACTAACCTCCCATTTTTGTCCTTTATTGGGCCTATCTGTTCCTTTCTCCCCTTTTTACTGTTTATGTATTGATAAAAAATGTTGGGGTTCGTTTTACTGACTGTGGCGATATACTTCTCACATTCAATTTTAGCTGCCCGGACTACCAGTTTACATCTTTTATTACATTCTTTGTAGTTTTGGAATGCCAATACTGTCCCCTCCATTTTATACTTAGTAAATGCCACTTTCTTTTCCTTAATGTGTAGTTTTACCGTTTTGTTTAGCCATATTGGCTTCGTTTTTGATGTTTTACTTTTGTTACCCAATGGTATACACCTGGTAATGGCATTTTTTAATTTGTTCTTGAAACAGTCCCACTTTTGGTCAAAGTTTAGTTTATGAAATAGGTTTTCCCATTCGATTTCACCCACTATATTTCGTAGTTTGTCAAAGTTGGCCTTCCTGAAGTTTAGGCTTCTTGTTCGACCAGCCCACTCCCCTCTCCTCCACCTAATATTAAAAGTAATCACCTTGTGATCACTATTACCCAGTGTCTCCAGGATTACAATATCCTCAATTAACTCCGTATTATTGCTGTTGATCAGATCTAGGATTGCATTTTTTCTAGTCGGGACCTCAACCATCTGATCCATGAAGTTGTCTCGCAACATATTAAGAAAACGGGCAGCCTTTGCTGATTGGGAAGTTCAATTAGCCCAGTTGATACTTGGGTAATTGAAGTCGCCCATTACCACAACATTTCCCTGTTTCCCTGCTGTTTCTATTTGGGATTGTAGGTGGGCTAAGGTCCGTACAATCTAGTTCTAGCCATAAAGATTCCACATCATCTCCACCATCTGACGTGATATCGTCACGGATGTGCATAATGGGGTTATTTTTAGCATATATACATACCCCCCCCCCTTCTTGCCAGCCTGACACCCACAATAAATTTACGGCTAAGGTCCGTTCTATCTAGTTCTAGCCATAAAGATTCCACATCATCTCCACCATCTGATGTGATATCGTCACGTATGTGCATAAGGTGGTTATTTTTAACATATACACATACCCCCCCTTCTTGCCAGCCTGTCCCTCCTGAACAGGTTGTACCCTTCTATGTTAGTAGCCCAATCGTGTGTGCTATCTAACCACGTTTCTGCTATTCCCACTATATTGTAGTCCTCCTCGAGTAATATAACTTCAAGGTCTTCTATTTTATTTGCTAGACTTCTAGCATTGGTGAACATACATTTAATTTTTGTACTTTTATTGGTTAAACGTTTGCTCCCCCCTTGCTCCCCACTACTATTTTTAATTGTACCTGTTACGGTTGGTCTATTCCTAATCGGATCACCTAGGGTCATTAGATTTACTTTATTGACTACATTTAGTATGATCTCTATGTTGGCTTGATTAACTACTTTGACTATGTTGACTGGAGTGAGCCCACTATCCAATCCTGTATTTTTTCCTTCTGTGTTATCTGTCACGATTAGTTGTTTAATATTTAATTTTGTAGTTTTTATTTTACCCTGTAACATGTTTTTTAATATAAAGCTTTTCATTGAAAATAAAAAAATGTAACAAGACAAAAAGTTCAAGTTCAGCACTTACTGCAGTGGAATGTCTTGCAGCACAGGTCATTTGTTGGTACTTCAATCTTATTTTCACTTTCTCCACATACAGGTTCAGGAGCGCAGGTTACACGGCTGCAATAATGCTACAATATAGAGAGAAGTGAACAATTAGAGTGGTCCCAGTGATATGTTGTAGAGTAGATTATTCACCAGACCTGTTTATGAAAGAGGAGCTATACGACTAGAGCTAATCCAATATGATGCATGAGGTATTTTGACTGCAAAAAACTTCACCTCAAAAAATACCCAATTTCCAATAATAAATATCACATTAATTGATGTTTAATTAAATAAATCCTTTGTTTCTGAGTATTTTATGTTGAACTGTTATTTATTTCAGACAGCTCCATCTCCTGTTCTACCTAATAAACACTGGAGAGAGCCATACAATTATTGCCAGCCCTGTGCTAATCAACTTATAAGGAATGACAACCTATGTCATTATCAAATCATAATGACAAAGAGTTTGGAGACATACTGAGCATGTTCTTTGCTGGCACATGTGTGTTCACAATTTTATGAATGTAAATATTCCACTTAATTTTGTACAAATGAAATAATTACAATATGCTATTTTCCAGGAAATAGGGCTAATTTCTGGTATCTTCCCCCACTTGAAAAAAGGAAGGAAACCCTAAAATGATATTCTAGTACTGGACGAACAACATTGGGTTGGTTTCTTAATTTTCTTGCGGACTTAGTGGCCAGGTATTCTCTCCCTAGTTCCTGAACCCAGCTCACTACTTTTGCCAATTACTAGAGTATCATGCTCACATTGTCATGTGCTAATTATCCATATAAGGGAATATCTACCAAAGTTAGCATAACATCCATTTTCAGCTTTATATTGGCCATTTGGAGAGGTGTTGCTAGAAATTATGTTGGGGATATCTTGCCATTGGAGGAACCCCTGAAAAAAAGTGCCAGTGACCATCAAAAAGTAAAGTATGGTGAAAACTTACAAGAGTTGGAGTTATAGGAGGTGCTGAAAAAAAAGAAAAAAAAAGTGTCAGTACTTGAATCGGCATCAGAAAATGTTACCAAAGCAAAACACAGGCTTACTGAAAAAAGCAAAAAATAAGACTCAACAATAGCCAAATTCAATTATTTTTCAGTGATATGATTTTGGTAAATTAATGTCTCTTTGATGTTGTGTGTTACTCTGCTTTGCGCTCTCTTTACTGAAATAATTTCCCAACAGCTTTCAGACAGAGGTCAGATGGGGAGGTGTAAGGTTTCTGACAATCTTCATTTGCACTTGCACACTCATAAAAGTACATATTTAGACCTATGGCAATCAAGGCAACCACTTTGGACCTCTTGGTTATGCCCCTGCCACAGAGTGCTGCTCCATTTGCTCCCTTTTTCATCATTTAAAATTATAGCTTGAGCATGTGGGTGCAATTGGTAATGCAGAAAGTGTATAATTTAATATGCCAGTGTTCTAAATACAAAATCCAATAGCACCCAAGGCAAAAATGCCAAAAAGTGATTTCACCCCCTCCACCTCGGAAAAAAATGTTTTCTGCAATGCACAATTTATAATTTATTAAGTAATACACGATCTAAAATGCTATGGTTTGCAAAGTATATTAATAATCCAGTTCACTGCAGCTGAGAACCTAATATTTTCATTCTTTCTCACTGCACTTGATGCCATAACGATCTTTTTTTAATAGCAGTGGCAATGGTGTACCAACAGAGGTAGCAGAAGAAGAAATGCTACATGAAATGGCCTTAAAGTGACATTAAACCCTCAGATTTTTTAACATAAAACAATACTGTAATGTGTGCCTTACTGTAATCCATGGTTGTTTCCCTTCTCTTTGCTCTTCCTTTTAAATCTGTATCTGTTCTCATGCTGGGCAGAACTTCTGTTTTGCAGCAGACTGCCTTGTCTCTGGAATGGATACATGGTGTCTGTGTGTAGGTTTGCAACCTGAGCCAGCACTACAGGAAGAGGCACTCAGCTCCAAAAGGAAGTTCTCCCCCAGCATGAGAAGACATGAGGATTTAAAAGGAAGAGCAAAGAGAAGTGAAACAACCATGGATTACAGTAAGGCACACATTACAGTATTGGTTTATGTTAAAAAATCTGAGGGTTTAATGTCACTTTAAGGAGCAGCTGAGAACCTGATATTTTCATTCTTCACTGCACCAGTGCAGGCATAAATATGGTTTATTGGCTACTTACAGAACCTGATATTTTCATTCTTCTTTACATATTTAAAAATATGTAAAGAAATACATATTTAATAATATAAAAAAAATATTAATTTCTTAAATGTTTGCATTCAAGCCTGGAAAGCATTGCAACTGTGATTACTCGATCAGGGCTGCAAAGCTCAGGCTTCTGCACATTCTCTCCCAGGCAGAGCTCCATACTGTGATATGGAGTTTCAGTTAGGAGATGGGGAAAGACGGCTAGACTTCAAACTGCATTAAATCACCTCATACAGCAACTAGCCGTCCTCCCTCTGGTTAGATGTGGTAGAGCTGTCCTTATTCCCGTCCAGCCATCCTTCCCTATCTCTCCTAACTGATACTCCGTACATCAGTACGTAGCTCTGCCAGTATGAGAATGTACAGAAGCCTGAGCTCTGCATCTGTGATTGAGTGATCATTGTTGCAATGCTTTCCAGGGTTGAATGCAAAAATGAAATAAATGCATATTTTTTATATGATTTGCATTTCTTTGATTTTGGCAAAAGGTGAACTTAGCCATTGAAGATGAATTCTGGTTTCTAAGGGTAGCAAAAACACTTTATCATCCAGACAAGGTCTGCTGCAAAGTTCCTTCTGATTGTTTCTCATAATTACTCTGCTGCTATGAGGCAACTTACGACATTCATATTCTGGGCAGCACTCTGTTTCAGGGTTTCCAAGCAGCAGTGGTGGTCTGTCTTCGTCACATGTGGGAATATAGCATTCTTGTTGGCATTCTGCATGTAAAGAGAAGAAACAGTCAATTGCATACAGAAGGTAATAGTCTCGACAATACCTTAATGTTGAATTTGACCAATTCCCCAATGTAACTGTCTTCCAAAACAGTTACGTTTAAGGCATGCCAAATGTTAGGGTGGTCAGTGTGCTTTTTTCAGCTGTCAACCGAACCTTCAAATGGCTGGTGTCATAGCTGATCACATGGCAATTGCAATCCAAATAGAGGCTAAGATGGCACCTTCCTTGGCTGTAAAGGATAGAAGGATGTAGTTCTGCTTTAAACAGTAATTCTGTGTTTAATGAACCAGAAAATGTTTTTTCTAAAATCAAAGGTAAAGTATAATCAGACAAGTCATGGTGAGGAGACTTTAAGGAACCCAAAATTAGTCCATATAATGAAGTGAATAGACTTCTGTTTGTTTTTTTCAGTCCATCTCACCGTGACCTCTTTGGTTAAACATTGTATTGCTCCCAAAGTGCTACTCCAAAGAAGCTATGCCTTTCATATACTGCACTGATGATGACTAACTAGCCTAAAATGGATGTAGCTAGATTGGATTTACATTATGCCATATCTGCAAGCACAGTTGGCCCAGCTGCATAAAGAATTATTTGCATGTCTCTGCCCACTATCATTAAATTGGGAATAAACCCCCTTTTCTTTTTTTGGATTTGTGATGAAATTAAATATTCTCTGTTTTCAGACAGCCCTACTATAGTTTGCAGTAAAATTAAAAGCATTAATAAACTTGGCAGTTTTTAAACAAATGATACTTTCTGAACTTCTATAAGTTGTTAACCTACTATACATAACATAATATAATATGTTATATTATACAACACATAACATAATATGATTCAACTTACTGCACTCAATAACGGGACAGCAGCGAGTAGCAGAGGAAGGTTCAACCACCATTGGATCCGCACCCCTCTTCTCACAAGACACAGACTCACAAAGGATACCCAAGCATGGTGTCTTTTTGAAAACAAAAATGCAATTATGTGTAAGTGCATATATATTAATGTAAAGCCATCTAATTACAACTGTTGGTGCTATATAAATCCTGTATAATAATAATAATAATAACAATTATAGTAAAATTAATTGGCAGTAAGTTAAAGGGTAATCCATTCACAAGTAATATTTTCTTCTACCTAGATTCAATCACTTTAAAAGAAAGATACATTATTAAAGTTGACCTGAACTCAAAGAGATTTGCTATCTCATTGGAATCGTCTACAAAAGTTTTCGTACCTGTATTTTTGCTGTATTATTTGCTGTATTATTGCTGTATCACTTCCTCCTGGAAGGGAGCACTGCACTTCCTGACATGTGACAGTTTTTAACCAAGTGAAGACCAGGGTGTTGAACCCCCTTCCTGTTCATGCCATTTTTCAGTATTCAGCGCTGTGGTAATTTCTCTGGCATTTATGGAATGCCGTACTGAAATTAATTTTATACCACTTTTGGGGACAGATAGAGCTTTCTTTTAGTGGTATTTAATCAACACTGGGGGTTTTATTTTTTACTATAAAGAAAAAGGTAGGGAAAATTTTGGGAAAAAAATAGTTTTCTCTCTGCTATGTTATGAAACATTTATTATCACCCGATGTTTTTGTATAATATAAAAAATGGGGTGACAGTGGGTAAATAGACACCAAACATGTCAAGGATTAAAATTGCGTGTGCCCACGAAATCACAAAAAAACTACCATACCCAAAATTGCCTATAGGCGATGCTTTAGCAGCTTTTCCCACTCATCAGTTTAGTGTTATCAGTGATTGGGCTCCCTAGAATTATTGCTCGCACGCCGACGTTACTGGTGATATGTAACATGTACAGCTCAATGGGCACATTTGCCATGTTCGCACTTAACTTTATTGTTATCACATAAGGGGCTAAGAAGCTGATCTCGCTCCAATCTGCATTAACAGGGGGGGGGACTGCATACAGTAGCACAACATCTATCACAACATACAAGGGTTTGGGCAGCTTTATAGCTGCCTGAACGCTTGTATGTAAATAGTCATCGTCGGCTGTTAAAAATGCAAACAGTGCGTGCGTGCATGGGGTGTGGAGCGCTAGTGTTTTAGGAAGTAGTTAAGCAATCCTGTTTTGTACCCTCAAAGCTGTATATCTGCAGTGTGAGACCATCTAAGGCACTGCTTTCCCTGACTGGTAGTCTCATGAGATTTGGAGTGAGATTTGGTACTACTGTACTTCTGGTAATGTCATTACTGTGCTGCTTATTGTTCTACTTTCTAGAGGTGGAGCTTTACCTAACAACTTGCAGCACAAGCATCTCCCTGCTTCTGCTTAGTTTATTATGTAGAACTGTGATTTCTTCACCTCTCCCACCTCTTGCTCACTATTGCCCCACCAGTTATCAGATCACGAGTCAGAGGAGCAGCTTTGCCAAGACTTAGCAAAGCTCTGTTCCTATACTAAAAGGGCCAACTCCACACAGAGACAAACTATCTCAATCTCAGTAATGAGGAAAGAACAGCTACAGGAAACCTACATTCAGTACTGATGATTTGTATTTGCTTGCCTTTGTTTGGACACAGCTTCCAGAGTACAGGAACTTTAATATAT